CAGGAATAGAAAGTCTGTTCTAATCAGGCACCTCATCGCATATACTGATTAAGAATTATTCTGCATCTGGGTTTTATCTGATCCAGCTTCACGTGTGGGAGGCTTAAAATAACTTGTGGAAAAGGAGGGAGAGAGAACTGTGTATTTGCCAGTCTCCAGTACTGTAGTGTGTACTCTTGTTTCACAGTATCCACCGCTGCTTTGAGTTGCAGGGCATCTATCTCATTATTGAAATCACAGAATGGGTAGCTAATCTTTCCCTCCAGATTATTTCAGAGACGTTACGTGCCGAACACTTCACCGGCGCTGAAGTACTATTGCTTCTCTTGCAGCCAGCAGCAAGTCTGCAGCAGATGAAGGCTGCAGAGTGCTGAAAACTGTTGACAGTTAAAAACAGGGAGAGAATAGAAGTGGGTTGAGTATCTTCTAAACCTGGCTCCCCAGCCAGATCTACCTTTTGGATTTTTAGATCAGTTATTGCAATGACTGAACATCCTAAACTAACTTTCTGGTAGTAAAATGCATTACGTTTTTATTAGCTAAACTGAGTCCTTACACCTTTCCCACCAGAAATCAGCAATGGACCCCTAACCACCATAATGAGGCATTTTTAGGACTAACTCCAAGGAAGAAACATCACTTGGGAGGTATTATACCACTTTCTGCAGAGTCTGGCTTTTCCTAGGAGTGAATGTCAGTCCAAGAGTAGGACACAAATACACCTGGGATGTGACCAGGCTTGAACACAGTCTCTGCATTCTCATTCTTGCTCTTGTCAGACAGAGTGTCTGTACTGAAACACTGAGTAATGAGAAAAAGACTGGACTGTAGAGAATGCCAGGATCTCCCAAGCTTTCTCTTATAAACAAATTCAAAATAAAATAAGGTAATGAACTAATTTCCTTTACGTAAAATAACCATGCAGACATCAACTTAAAAAAAAAAAAAAAAAAAAAAGCTTAAACACAGTTACCCACTTTCCCTCCAGTGATAATTTCTTCCAGGAAAAGGAATCAGGTAATGTTGAGTTTTTCCTTCTGCTACCTTCAGTAATATTGCTAGTGGAAGAGAACTTACGGTAACGGATCCTGGTGTCCTCCTCTTACCCACTTGTGCCAGCTACTGGCCACTACTGATTCCTTCCATATTTTTTTCCTACCTGTTACATGTGTTGATCTTGCCTTTCACAAGGCTCCTTAAACAATTTTCCCTTTTTTTTTTTTTTTTTTCTTTTTGGAGGGGGTAGGGAGGTGGCTGAAGGAGTACAGGTGTTTGTTTAAAAAATAACCCAAACAATTACTGAAAAGAAAGCACCACTGTTTGCCTTTTATCACCACGATTTCATTCTGCTTCAATTTCTGCTTCCTTTTCTGTCTGAGCCGCTTGAAAGGTTCTGGCTGTAACTTCTAAATGGACACAAAACACCGTTGCACCATAAGGAATGTGTATGTTCACAAATAATTGTACATGTTTATTTTAAGATGTATTTTATGTTGGAGGGAGACACACCCACCTTGTGCTTAAAAGGAAACTCTTGGGGAATAGGAATTTCTTTAGCCTGCTCCTCCCCTTATTGTTCAATGCTTCCTTGTACTGACAAGGACCACTTCCTCTCCTTACCCACCTTCCTTCAGGCTAACCTGCATTTCAGCATGGTTTCATTTCTGCCATGGCCCACATGAAATTACATTACTCTCCTCCCCTCCCAAGTTTCTAAGCAGTTAACAGCAGCCTAGCAGCTCTCCTGGAATGGCAGTCAACTCATACAGCCTTCACTGTTCAAGTGTTTCTTTGAAACAATAGACATTTTATAGTGAGGTGTTGTCTGAAACACTATTTCTACCCACTTTCAAATGTTCTCCAGATTTAGGAATTAAACTAGAATTTAATTAAGGCTTGTAAGGGACCACATCTACCACCACTCCCACCCCCCCCACCCCCACCCCCTATCAAGCAGCTGATTTTGGGTTGAAGACCTAATTAAACACTGAGGTTTCACATCTGCAGGGATATTCATAGACGTGTCCCAGGCCCAAGAAAAATGACTTAGCTCCACAGAGCAGATACTAGTTCAGGCTTGGCTGGTGCCACAGTCCAGTTCAGCCAGCTTGTAAGATGCTGAAAGTAGCTTTTCCTGACCAACAAACTTTGGTGGACCTGTGTTTTATTCATGCCTTTGGCATTAATTCAACTCAGACATATGTCAAAATGAGAGACACATTGAGAACAGTGAATGCACTGCATAGTTCAGGGATCTGGAGAGCTTTTGGATGGAAATGACAATGCTGGTGGAGAGACCACATTGCAACAGTAAGATGAGACTGCACCAAACCTAGAATCCCAGTGAAAACCAATGCACGCAAGTCCTGTCTGTTACTGCCTCTGCCCAGGAAGAAGGACTTGGAATCCACAGAAGGAAAGTGCCTGAGAAACAGGAAGTAGAGGGAGAATATCCAGACAAGGGCATCAGAAAGTCTCCTTCAGCTCTGATCAGGAGCGGTATAATTTCAGTTAGCTACATCAGAATAAACTTAAAACTTGTCTTCTGAAGGCTTTGTTCTGAAGTCAGCAAAAGGTGGAGCATATACCTTAGTATCATCTTTATCTTATTCCTGTAATAAATAGCTCATTTTTAAAATAAAGCCCTCATTTCCAGTTAGTGCTGCCTGGCTTCTATCTCCCGCATTTGTTATTGTTTCTTCCACTGGGTTAAAGACCCTTTTATTATTCAGTGTTTCTCTAGGGAAGACATACACTTCCCTACAGCTATGTCTTGATACATTCTTCTTTTTGGTAAACTAAACAAATGAACTCATTAAATCTTTGCAGTTGGACAATTTCGTCTTTCCTGAAGTCTTTTGGATTTTTTCTGAACCT